GATCATGTTTAAAACAACAAAAGAATATTCAATTTAATATTTATTTTTTCTGAAACACTACTACTAATATCTTGAATGAGAAAGGAGTTTTTATCTGGTAGAGATTTTAATAATCCAATTGTAAGTGTAATACATTCTAGTTATATCAAAGTGCAAGCTTTTACAAATTTATTATTAATTTTTGTTCGGTTTGCATTTTCTGATTTGTTAAAAGTTTATGTTCTAACTATATTGCACTCCTGTACGGAAAATAATGATCACATATTCTCCTCTCTCTCTCTTTTTTTTTTTTAAAGGCAATTCACGGAAATTCAGGGGAAAAAAAACATTAGTGGAAATCTATTTTATACCCCTACCCTCTTCACCTCCACCCTAAAAAATTCCTCAAAATTTTGTTTTAGACATTTTCTATCTTTTGAGGAATAATAATAAGTTAAAAATATAAATAAAACAGAGTCAGAAATTATTGGAGTACGTTAACAGTAGAAATAGAACATGACAGGACCTAATATAATTTAATAATTTTGGCTTCACGTGAAACATAAGATCACATCACATGTAATCTAGATTGAGACCGGATCCCTCCAATTTCAGGCGAGTGATTTCGTCCAGCTTGTCTCTCATCTCAGGGGTGAACATGCTCTTCCAATCTCCCACCTCCCCTTTCCTGAAAAATGTGCTGTTTCTCATCCCAACCCAAGGATCCACCCCATTTTTGTTAACCTCCAAGTTCTTCAACCTTTCCAAGCTACACCTCCATGCTACATCTTCTACTTCTTCCTCCTTCGCAAATGGCCTTCCCAGGAATGACGCTAGCTCCTTCACTTTCCCCTTCGTGTCTCTCTTCAGCTCTTCATATTTCAGAAACAGTATCCGTTCAGGATTCTTCAAGCTCTCCTTCCAGTACTGCAAAACATGCTCAAAAAATGGCCCGAAATGGGAAACTCCCTTGCAGAAACACTCAAAGGCTTTCTCGAATGGATACGGACCCTGCTCAGATGTTCTTAGATGATTGAGGAAGTGCCACGTTGACACCAAAGTATCCTTGGGATTCCTGGTTTTGAAGAAATTAAGAAGATGCATGAAGAGTGATCATTAACTCTTTTTTTTTCTGGGATCATATATATGCCGGCCCTTTAATTAGCCAGACTAGTCCCATTTTGCACTAAACTTTTTGACTTGTATTTAAAACAATATTTACTTGTTACCTGGCGATGTAAACTATCTTACAGTTAGATTCCTTGATCGAATCAGGAAGCTCACTGTATGGCAAGTGAGTGTGGAACAGTCTCGGAGACTGCATAGCCGAGACATCTGGTGGGGGCTTGGCAGTGAACACTTGAACCTCCAGAGTCTGCACGTAGAAGGCAGGGTGGTTCTTGACAAGTGGATCCTCATCCGCCCTGTGGATGTTTTCGTCCCCATAGCAGTGGCGTCGCATTATGGAGAGAGCGAGGGCCTTGAGCCAGGTGGTACCTGTTTTCATGGGAGATGCAAGGATAATGTCATCAGGACGTACCTTGAACTGAGAACGGAGCGCCAGAGCAGCTTCCAGGTGATAAGCTCTGTACCAGAAGCCATTCCATTGATACAGGGGAATGTCCCAGTAGCTCTCCAGTGGAAGCTGATCTAGCACAAGTAGTGGTCTTGCAACATCATTCTCAGATGAATCCATAGCAGCAACAGCACAAACAGAGGATTCAAAAACCTGGGATGGAAGTCTGAACCAAAATGAAAGTTTGGGTAATCAGTGATATGTGGGTGGTATGTGCTATACAGAGAGCTGAGGGTAATATATAATGGATTTAACTTTAGGGGAGAGTACGTGTATATGTTCCATATGCTCGGAGTGTTATGGCATGGTCTGGGATTTCAATATAGTGGCGTGGTCCAATGGATGGTGGTTGCCACTTTGAGCCAGCTCTACACAATTTTGATCATTTAAAATGACCACGAAGGAGAGGTACGACTCAGTAAGTGCCCTTTAAATCAGTGTTACCTATCTTTCAAATTCAGCTTTCAATATGGACTCATGCTTGTGTTGTGTTGATCAAATCATTGTTACTTGACCCAATTTCGGCTAACATTTAGAGCCTGAATTTTTGGTCAACTGTTCCAATTACAAGATGTGTAGGCAAAGAAGTAAAGGAGACAACCCACACTACAGACAAGAAATATGACCATACATTCAAATATTATGATGATAGCATAAGTTTTTAAATATTTTACTTTAAAATATTAATTGTATTTAATTTTATTGTTAAAAATAATTAATAATTATAATTAATTTTTAAAATTATTATTCTTTAATTTTAAATTTATTTTAAATTAATTATTATTTTTTTATTTTTTAAAAATACACAAATATTGTTTTTCATATTTTAACTCCATTATTATTCATTTATTTTAATCAATTATTTAATTACAAAAAATTTCTCATTATATTTTATTTCTTTTTTAATGGTATTATAAATAAATATAATTATTATCCTTAAATACTTTATTTTAAAAAATTAAAAATAATAATTATTTTGAGAAAAAAAAATAATTAGTAAATAATAAAATAATTAATATTTATTAAGTAACAAATTAAAATTAACTTACTCCATATATATTAATATTTTTAAATACTATAATTAATTTTTTAAAAAATCAAAATTTTTGTAATACAATAATACAGTATATAATCATAACGATACCCTTACTATTACTCTGACTTATTCTTAAGACAACAAAATCTAGACAAATTATAGCAACTCTCATAACCATTTTTTAATAAAACAAACCACTAATTCGATAACTTTTCTTATATTAGATCGACCACACAACACAAAACAAGTGCTAATGCTGTCTCTTCAATGATAATAACAATAAAAAAAGAATAAAAAAAGCAGGCTCAATGATGTTTCTCCACCAGTGTCTTCTTTTAAAAATTGGTGTAAAAAGAGGTAAAGCAAAATTCCGTTATTTAATGGGGAGACCGAGCATAAAAGAGAATAATATAAAAGTTGATACTTATTCTTCAAGTGTCATTTTAAATTTTGACATAGATTTGCTCTCATGAGAAAAAAAAAAGAGGATAAATTTATTTTTTTGTAAAATTAAGAAAATAAAAATATCTTATAATCTAAACTATACTATACTGTACAATTTAAATTATTAAATTGAGATTAGAAAGTAAGTCTTTTAATACTCCTTATGTTCTAAAATAATTTTTATTTTTTGATTTTAAATTTATTTTAAATTAATTTTCATTTTTTTTAATTTTTTTTTAAATGTAAACATATAAATATTTTTTTTCTACTTTAACCCTATCATTATTCATTTATTTTAATTATTTATCTAACCACAAAAGTCTATCATTATCTTTTATTTCTTTTTAAATAGTATTATAGATTGTTTGGGGGTGTTGATGATGTAGGCTGATGAGTCAGTAGCGGTGACAATATGGAGACTGACTAGGATGACACCTGTGAAAATGAGGGGGGTTTTTTCAGTGGCACCCATCTCATGTGCAGAGGGCTAGATGTTACGGGCCATTCTGTTATATTGGGTGATGATATCTTGTAGTGCACATTCCAGCGAAGCTTTTTAGAAAAGATAAATCTTCCCATCAAGCCGGTAGAGCTGGGCAGCGAAGGCAGGGCTCCAAGGGTTCAGGATGATTACAAGACTATCAAAAAACATGATGGAGAGAAGTTGTACATTGTTAAGAAGGGGTAGCAAAGATAAAAAATACATGTGGTTCAAAGATTACAATTTGAGAATCACATTTATACATAAATCATTGTAATATTATAATAATGACAATAAATGTGAGCTCTTTCATCTCTATTGTATATCTTTACTCTATAACGAACAATCCTTATATTGAAAACGAGAAGTGCAACAACTCCACTCTTGAAATTCTTCCAAAGACAAAAGGATAAACTTGAGAGTGGTGATGGGAGAATGAAGGGTGACCGCTTGGGAGCTTATGAATGGAGCACTTAAACCCCTTTTTGATGCTAACCTTGCAACCTTGATCATTTGATGCTCAAGAAGAACTACCTGGAAACTGAAACGGCAACATGTTGTTTCCTAGTCATAATATCCTGTAAATCTGTAAATATTCTACGGTGTTGGGTGATTCTACAGTGCTGGAAAATGTTCTGCAGTGCTGGAAATTGCTCTGCAGAGTTGGAGACACAGGAAATCCGTGAAAAATGGTGATTTTCGGGTGGTTTTAGTGTGCAGGGCAGTGGGTCAAAGATGGAATATTTTTAGAAGAAAAATAGGAGTTTTGGTACGTGAGGAAGAAAGGCTGAAGTTGTGTGTCAAGATTTGTTTTTGTGTTGCATGTGTATATATTCTGGAAAATGAAGGGCAAATAATATATATATGTGTAGTGGTATTGTTGTAATTTCTGATTGATGGCTTAGAGGTGTGTAGATAGGTTTGGGTGAGCTATTGAATTTTCGATAGCTCTGGGCACTATTGGCAGCTCTATGACAGTGGCATCATGAATTGCCTAATGATTCCAGCGAAACTTCGCTGGTTCTGATGAAGAACTAGAAATTGTATATTTCTAGTAATGCTTCTAGCAATACGAAATCCCATCTTGAGGAAGGTGCTTGAGTGCAGTTGGCAAAAACAATACCTGCACAGGATTTGGTAGGTTCCCCAAGCTCTGCACGAGATTTTAGAAGATTCTTCAAGCAAATAGTAATCTTTTACAGTAGTTGCCGATGCCATGGAACTTGTGCAGTCAACCTTGCATTAAATATGGTTGCAAGTTGCTGATGGTGACCAAAACAGCTTCTCTAGTTAGTTTCTAGCAAGATTTCCAACCTTTGGTTAGCATCAAATGGTACTATTTTGGGAATCAAGTTTACTTCCACGTCTTTGCCACCTAACCCTTTCTGGCAAAGTCGAGTAGCATCACCAACGCCAAGCTTCATTGGAGCGAATGCCTTGCTTCGCCAGACGGCCAACATTCATTTATCCATGCTTGCCAAGCCACTACTCCCATAGTTTATCTCGAGTAATTCCCATGAGCTTGGATTTACGGGCTTGTGTTTATCTGTAGCAATAACAAAGCACATGTGAATATATGTTCAAGTATTTAAGCGTAGGAAACGTATAAATATATGCAGCGAAGAGGGGAATGCCATTGTGTATTAAAGGAGGCTATGTGGATGAATGTTCGCTGCTCCCATTTATTTGTTGGCCATGGCGAGTATTAGTATATTGTTGTTGTACATGGCTGGCGTTGTGCCAGAATGAGGAACAGGTGATATGGGTGTGTACTGCGATATCGTTGTTCGGAGCCAAGCTTCGCTAGCTGGTGATACCTACTAACACATAAGACATAGAAAATATGTGTTATGAGTCGGGATTACTAATGATTGGTAATTTTGTCCCTTTGTGTAGAAGAGTAATAATGTGCATGACCTCCGGCTATGTTATGTACATATTGCGAGGTTACCCAAGAATAGCTTCCCCATAACCAAAGGGACAATAGTGGCTAGCTTTGCCCATGGTTGGAGTGTGAACTATGTGGAATCGAAAGAGCACTCCCACTAATCCGCCAAGCCGCGAAGGGGTAAATCTCATTAAACCAAAGTTTGCCATAGCGATGAATATGTAAGAGAAAGGTGGAGTTGTCTCCATGGAAGAGGGATGCCAGCCGCATCCATGGCCTTTGATACAACAATGTGTGATACCACTGATAAACGTTGGCCCTTCTTGTCGTACTTGCACCGTCATAGGGTAGTCCTGGTTGTTATTGCTTGCTGGGCACCCCACCACCATGCACGAGCAACCACCAAAGGACCACCAGCCACTACTTGATGGATTTTTATCGTTGGAGGGTAGCCATCCCATCTTATCACAGGGTTGCAACTGTTATCAGCCTCACACTAATCGTACCAAGTTGCGCTAACTCTTTGTCCGTTTTCGGGAGCCAGTGAGATAGAATATGTAGAAATTCGACCCTTTGTCCATTGCTGGGAGCTAGTGTAATAAGATATGTGGAAATGCATAGCCAGTTGCCCATTGTTGAAGGCTAGATGAGATAGTAAATCTAGCCCTTTGTCTATTGTTGGAAGCTGTGTAGGTGTAATAGGATCACCCTGTTGTCCATTGATGGAAACCAGTGATAAAGATATGTAGAGATAGATGCTTGGCTCGTTGCCCATCGCAGGGAGCTATGCATATCAGATTGTTATCCTTTGACGGGAGCCATGTAGTAAAATAAGCTCTTTATCCATTACTGGGAGCCATAGGATACAGCGGTGAATATCGCTGTAGAAGACATGACCATCAAGAAATGCCCAGCCATATTGCCGAAATAGATCTAGCTATGTTTGGCCATGTATGTGAAAATAGATGTTGGAGTAGGTTATATTCTACTATGTCTCCAACGAAGTGCATGAGTGTCGTTTCTATCAATGTTAATTCCATTGCAGCAATTAGTAGAAAATAAGAACTGCACGTCCGATGTGGGAAATGAGCATCGTGGGCCTTTACTGATGTCGATTTGCACACGTCATTGGTTTTGCAACCATACAAATTCATCCCTCAACATAGATAAATATAATTATTGTCCATAAATCTTTAATTTGAAAAAAAAATGGTCAAAAAACAATAATTATCTTGAGATGAAGGGAGTATCAAGAGTTGCCGTTGTTATCTAATAATTTTTATTTTACAATCTAATATAACTCAAATAATAAAATTAAAAATTATTAAAAAAATGAAAATGAATTCATTCATTTTAGCATTTGTACTCTGAGAAAGAATACAAATCACAATGAAAATCGAATGGCAAGAAAAACCACATAATTTGTACACACACAAAAGAGAGAGAAAGGGAGAGAGAGAAAATCTCTTTTCTTTTCCTACTTTTGTTCTTTGAGAAGAATGGTGGATGTTACATCCAAATCGACAAAGGCCAATTGGGCTTGAACTTTGGTTTATTCTTTCAGGAAATACCTCCTTTGTAGTATATTTAGATTAAGATAAATAGGGAGGAAAAAAGTGGAGAAAATTTCTTTTTTTGATTATAAAAAAAAGTGGTGATATAAGGATAATGTTTTTGCACCTCTTTTTTATACAGTCGTGAAACCACTAAGGGGAAGGGTTAGGCATAGGCCATACCTTTCCCCATAAAAACAATGAGAAAAGGAAAGGCCAAGAAAGAAGGTTGAACCTTGGCAATTGACATAAATAACTAATTAAGGTACTAGCTTTCTGAAAGCAAATAGATAAAAGCAATACTTTCTCTCTACTTTCTCACTCAGGCAA